AGCAGCCGATTTTCTGTTTGCGTTTACACCTGTAATTTTGTGCTGGCAAACATATCGGACCACTTTTATACCAATATATTGCAACCATTTGATGCCTTTTAAAAAAGGAAAATTTTGACGGGAACTTGGCTCTGCGAGCAAGATTCAGGTCACCGCCAGAGCGGTTTGCATTTAAGACATCAGCAACACTACTGCCAACACAACAGGACACAATAGCAAAATAAAGGCACAGCTTTTACTGTTAGTAGAAATTCTAATACAAACTATTCTAATTCGCAATAGCCACTGTTACGGCAGTCTAGACCTCCTCCTGCTCAAATGCTGTACTCCACTCCTTGGGTCATTTCACACGTACCTCTTCATCGGGTACCCGCTCCCAGGGCAGGCATTTTATCATCTATTTAGAAAAAATACATCCGAAAAAGACAATTAGTCTACTTGTTCATACATGAACTGACAGTTCCCTCAGTTATTGCAGTAATCATTAACTCACACAGTAGCTCACGGGCGTAGCTTAGTTGCTTTGGTGACATTCGAGTACGGTAGTGAGTAAAAACCTGTGGGAAAGAACCTGTTTCTTAAAAGAACCTGTTAGGCTTAAATTGGCCAGTTAGACCGCCTCTATGCAAGAACCTTTTCAGCCTAAAATAATTGAAACAGGTCCCTATTATCTTAAATCTGAAAAAAATTCTCGAACTTGGGTAAATAAGATAAGGCTTAAACTGCAATGTATTGGTTTGCAGGTTTTATATAGGGAATAAGCTGAAGACCACTTATCAACGAAACTACACTCAGCTACAATGTACTCTTTCCTGAATTTAGAAAATAAGAACCTATTCAAGAACCTAAATAACCTTAACATAGTCATACTGCTCGCAGGGAAGGGACAGATGAATGTTGTTATGGACAAGACAAACTGCAACGACAAAATGGACGCCCTTGTTAACTACAAACAGACCTACGAAGCACTTAACCCTTTAAGCCCTAAGAGCGATTAGTGTCAAATTTCTCCTTGTAATATCAATGCTTTGTGAAACAGAGTGGTCATGAGAATTAAGGACATGATCACACAAGATGAATTTTCTTGATATTTCATCAACTTCTCCCCACTACTTTTTTAGGAAATGAATAGGCCCCGGGAGAACAAATGAGAATTCAAATTTTGATCTTAGGGCTTCTATGGTTAAACGAGACCCGACACCCGCACTGCATCGCAAACTTAAACTGCTTACACTGAAGAAAACCAAGAAGATCTACTTTCGGCCCTACAACAGACTGAGGTGTAGTTTTCCGCAGCCACCCAAGCTGTAATAGTATGGACTACCAACACTATTCAGGGCGGAAAAACGTCCTGCGAAAGCTTCTGCGCATCCTTTATCGCAGGCTCAAGGCTGGCTTTTTCTGTGTGTGAAACGACTTTGTTTGTTTGTGTCGTTCTGATGAATTAAATGCACGAGATGCGAACGTTTGCTACTTGTATAAAGCCTTTGTATTTGTTTTGTGTTTCGTCACTTGAATTTTACTTTGGATTCAGAACACCGATTTTGGGGAAGATTTTACTAGATAAAGATTGAGTCTTTTTCTGCCCACATATCAACGCCAAAACGTCTACATTGAGGATTTTGTTTAAATTATGGTGATCTCAGTGCAAGTTACAAGTGCCCGATCGAGCGTGGGTTTTTTTTAAATACTCAGTAATCAGCTCGAGTGGGACAAAGTTGACTTCAAACACACTGTGGGCATGCGTTTTTTTTTGTTGGCAAATCACGGTACAAAGATATTTTGTTTTTGTGTCCATAGTGGGACTCCGGACCTTATATATCCAGGAACTTCCTTATATGAGCACATTTTGTGAATGCATCTTGAAAAAAATTGGACCTACGCATGCACATTGCCAGTACAACGCATGGAAATTAATGTCGTTAAAGTCTGTTTTAGCTCTGTTTTACTATGAGGTATTCTTAGGGAAAATTAACTAATGAGAAGGTAATAACCACTACAACTTTTGATGACAAATTACTTAACTTTTATTACAAAATCAAAACCAATTATAACCCTTCTGCTTACCTAGATCTAAGAAGAAAGAACCCTTCTAGGAAAACATTAGTGAATGTGAGAATAAGCAGTCACAAACTTAGGACTGAGACAGGTAGATACGACAATATACCATGCACGTGACAAAAGGTTATGCAGTCTCTGCAATTGTAACAGAATTGAAGATGAAACTCACTTTTTATTAAACTGTCCAAGTTTTTCTACGATAAGAGAGATTTTCTTCTCTAAACTAGAACCTAAAATACCGTTTCTACGACTACAATCACATGAGACCTTATTATCACATCTGATGAATCCTACTGAGCGGACTATTTTATAAACATCCAATTAATTTCAGTTATATCGTTTTGCTTTGACAAACCTATCTTCGGGATAATTAATCCTACTGATGGTTAAAAATAAGCTGAATGATTAATATGTTTCAAATTATTTTAAATATTGAATTTAAAAGGAATCTATGATTAATTTCAAGTAACTTTTGCAATATTGTAATACTTTGTTATAGTCATGCAGGTAAAGCTTATTGTTGTTGTTGCATGTTGCTGCTTGTTCTTTCCACTTTTTGAGTGGAAACATTTTATCATGGGCAAAAAAATATTTGAAATCCCGTCATTTTTTCTAACCCGGCCAGGGTATCTGAGCAAAAACGTTCACGCATGCTCATTACGTTTTTCCGCCCTGAACCGACACTACACAAACTGACCCCAACATACCTATGGGGCCTATAGTGTCTTTCTATCGGTCCCTGGCTTACCAATTGTATAAATACTCAACTAACGTACTGAAACTTCTAGCTGACGAATCTGGTCGACATAAACTACGTACATTCTACTGAGAACTTTATTGACGCCATTAAGACAATACAGATACCTGACGACCACAACTAGTGTGGCTTTTGACGTGAAATCACTGTTCACCAGTATTCCACTTCAACTGGCTCTAGACTGTACGGGGAATACTATTAAGAGTTCTCACTGTTGAACTGCTACTACCTACAGACGACATTATGGACCTATTCACCCTTTGTTTGACTTTGACGTACTTTCAGTACAAAGGCAAACACAGAACATACCAGAGTTACACGGTACATGCAGCCATGGGCTCTCCAGTTTTTGTTTTTATAGCAGAAATTGTTATGCAAAACCGCATCTAGGACCAAGCTTATTCTCTTTGGTTACGCTACGTTGACGATACATTCACCGCAGTACAGAAAAAATCGACTATTTTCATGAACACCTTAACAGACAGAACGCGGACATTAAGTCTTACCAAGGAGGTCGAGGAAAATGGTAAAATACCTTTTCTGGACTGCTTAGTCACACGCAGCAACAACAGACTACGAACGACATTTTCAGAAAACCGACACATACAGACCGATTACTAGACCAGTCATCGCGAGCCCAACCCTCTCGCATGAAGGCTACAACTATACGGACTTCGACGAGACGAGCGCAGCTAGTTTTTGAATAGATTCGCCTGACAGCCTACAAGACGCGACTAACTACTTAAACAACGTTTTTACTAAAGACAACTACAACCTGCACGGATTTTGTGAGACGAAACACTCTCAATAACATTGATTCCACTGAACACTCAGACCAACTTCCGGCTGGCCCTGTTACGACAGCTACGATACAGTACATCAGATGCACCTCTGAAACTATCGCACGTATATTACAACCTTACACACAAACCTATAACCACTTTACGACGACAACTTACTAATGCCAGGGACAAAGACAAACCGGGGAACAGACAGGGAGCAGTCACAAGCCGGGTCAAATGCTTCGTCCGCCAGGCTACTTATATTGATAAAACTGACAGAAATCTTAGCAGTCGCGAGTGACCGAACGCAAACGAGCGACGAGAAATGGTGACGTCTGAACAATCACATTGCTGAGTACCATGGCCATTTACAGAAGAAACATCAAATCGACTAGGACTTAATTACGACATGTATTACGTAGTCTACAGACTACTATCAACGACTTACTTTAGAATGCTGGTTTACGAACTTAGAACAAACCGGCGCTACTGAGTCGTAGTCAACAGTTACCGGCACGGTACAAACGAGTTATTGATGGAATCAAGCAAAACTAACTACGGAAGAACTAACAATAAACGTCTGTTTAACTCAGTGTGACAACAGACGGATCGAAACACACCAATGACATCACGAGTCTTCATAGCCAATAACATCACGGCTTATAACTGACAGACGACGCATTACATCGCGACTTTAGGTCAATAACGAGAGTTTAACACCATCAACTGGGGTGATACAAGTGAAGATGACTACCACAGGTTGTCGAAACGTCATTCACTATCAACAACAATAGTCCTATTCAGGTCTTCGTTCACTCGGAAGATCATATTCAACCTACTTATATTATTATTATTATTATAATCATAACTATAACAAAATTGTCAAATCTGATTGGCTATCAACTGCCCTGATTTCAGCCTTTATACTACTACATTAGAAATTTCTGCAATTTGATTGGCTTAGAGCAGTGGTATTTCAACGTAATTTGAAATACCTACATGTGAAAATTACAAACCTTTTGCAGGTAGTAGTATAAACAAATAATAGCATGATTTGTACGTAATATTTGGCATAAATACGACTCGTGATATTTCAAAATTGTCTCAAATTTCACTCGCCTGACGGCTCGGCAAATTACATATAACAATTTTGAAATGTCACTTGTGGTATTTATGCCAAATATCACTACAAATCATGCTATTACCTATACTGATTGGATAGTTTAATAGGACAGACAGTACGCGTCATGCCTAAGTAATTGGATACGTATACGCGCCATCACGCGCGCGCTTAAATGGCCTTTTGTTTTCACTGCTAGCAAAAATTCGAATTTCTTGTGTTATGATTTAATTTGTGAAATTTGAAATCTGTCATTAAGGAAAGAATTTTTGCCAATATCAGCATTCACCTCTTTAAGTTGCTCCTCCTTGAAGTTTTGTTCACTACTTGGCAATATTGTTCCGTGAAGTTTCTGATCGTAAGTGATTTGTAGCTCGTCAGGAAATGGAGAATCGCATTTTAACCTCCAAAGTCTTCCAGTTACTCGAAAAGATTTAGGCATCTTTTTGATGCTTGAAAAAAAGCTCAAACCTAGCCGGGGGAAGAAAAAGGCGAAAACTTAGAGTTAGTAACACAGATGTTTTATTGTATATGGGCCTCGCTACTTTAATTTTAATATACGGCATATTTACTGAATGGGCTGTGCGCCAAGTAAAGGATTCGCGACGGCCAAAAGAAGCCATGAGATTGGCTTCAAAGCTGCTTTTTTCCGAACAAGATTCCGTGACTTTTCGACTTGTTTCGGTTATTTCACGAAGAGAGACCGAAATTTCACCGTGATATCTCGAGATTACTTCGAGTTCTTTCGGCTTACCCTGGGTTTGAAGAGACTCAGCCCGACCCGTCAGATCAGATGCTAAGTTGACGGATTAGCTAATGTCGCTACTGCGACCTAATTATAATCTGCTTAATCAGGTGGAAAAAAACTATAAAATGAAGGGAGTTACTACGCAATTCAACCTAAAAATCCATTGAAACAACGAACAAACACCAAAACATTGTCGTTTTTATTCATTCCTTGAAAAAAAGTTAAGATTCAGCGTTACCACTCGCAGATCTTAGTATGGTATATTTCATACAAAGCCTCTTATTTTCAACGATCGCCTGTAAAGCGACACCGGCGCGTCCAGCAAAAAGTTCACGCGTCACCTATGGCAAGTACACTACTTTACACCCTTTCCTCGTAACGAGAGTTTGGCCCACCTGTGTTGTGAACAAAAGTTACCTGATGAACGTTCGATGATAATATCTCCATGTTCACCTTTCACAAAGTCAACAGGCTTGGAGCTGTTATAATGTTGATCTAAAGTTTCACACCTGAGATCCACTTCCTCTCTTATAGGTCCCTTTTTATCTCCATACTTGATAAGGAAACTTGGTTTCTCTATCTTCTTCTTAAAGGTTAAAGCAAATCTGCCAGTTAAATTTAGAGGTTTAAATTGTGCCATGGCAGTGGTGAAGTTCGATCTTCGATCTGTGTACAGTGCGTCTCTGTACTTATTTTGTTCTGCTTTGAATGCCCAATAGGAGACATCATTGTTTACAAACATTGTTTTTGTTATCCAAGTTTGTAACGAGTTAAAACAAAAAGAATCTTTTGTTTCAAGAACCAATGCGCTTCTGGTTGCCATATTGATATCAATGAGTGACGTCAGCGTGTAATCGCCCATAGGCAGTTTAATGCTGTTCAATTATTAACTTTTGTCTGCAAGACAGTATACAGGTCACGTCATAACCTGCAAAGACTAAGTTAACTGCTTTATTTCTAGCGTAGTATCTCTTAGTAGTGCCTTTCCACTGGGAGTTAATTGATAGGTGAAAAAAAATCTAAAATCTAACTGACGAAAAAACGTTTTAACTCGCTTATCTGCCAAGAGACTCTTGCACCTGCTTGTTGAAATAGATAATGCACCTTGATTGTTTTTAAAAAAGGTAATCAAAAATCGACAAGCTTTGTATGAAAACTACAAAGACAAACACTTCTCTTTGTTTTGGTTCCACGGCGATTTAATTAATATATGGGAAATATAAGTAAGGGTTTTCTAAAACTTTAAATAACACAATAAAATTCACGGAAATGCAAAGAACGCTCAATTGATTGTAAAGAATGCTATTGAATGGCAACAGTGTCACAAAAAAGTTAATGAATAGTGTTTGCACTTCAATGTTTGTCAATTGTCCCTATTGATTTTCAAGATCGTGTTAATGAATAGGATGTTGGCGTTAATGAAAGCATATTTTTCTCTTTTGTATGTTGAATGACGCAAATGAATGCCCAGACTGATCTTATTGAATGTTGATTAAAATGCAAAGATCGTTATTGAATCTGATTTACGAGATGTTCGTTTTTTCGCGCTAATGAATGTTTCTTCGCGTAATTGGTAGCGTTTCACGCAAATGAATGCGTTTTTCTCTTAATAAACAGCAAAAGGTGTAAAAAGTTAAAAGAATTAGCATATATATGGGTAAGGTGTAAAAACATGTTAAGAACTATAAAAACTACAAAAGAATGAAGTAAAGCATGCAGAGAAAGAACAACAACAGAACCTATTTAAAAGAACTATTTAAAAACTTTGCAGGAAGTGAGTCTGATTGTAAAAAAACATTTCAAACACCAGGCAGATGGTCTGTATAAAAGTTGGAAGGCATATGCGCACCAATAATTTTGTCAAATGCAACTGCAGTTTCCGACAAGGCGGAAAAGTATCGTCCGCGAAACTTGATTCTTTGACAACGAGTGAGTACAGCCATACTTTTCTCATCATTTTTTAACCCGCTTTTCTTTTTTGTCCTTAAATATCCTAGTATGTATCTGAATTATACCTGACATAACTCGTTTTTTTGAAAAACGTAGCCCCTTGAAAATTTATGTATATATCCCAATTTGGTAGGCACAAAAAAAAGGAATAAGCATTATATGACCCATGGGCTATAACCAAGACAGCTAAATACAGATTTATAGGCCTGCTGTAAAATTGCTCACCGGAATACCAAAAAGTTGCCAAAGAACTGGAAAAAAATCTAAAACGTTTCTACTTAGATTTCAAAGTTGCTATTTAAATTTCTTGATATTTTTATGTAAACGTTAGGTAACAGCGTTATTTTTCATTCCTCACAATAATTGCTAACGACGGTCAAGAAAAATAACCTGAATGAATATCTTAGCTTTGAAGAGCTGCTCTCGAATATAATATCTATCCTTTCATGATGATCAGTGATGTTAAGATCAAGTTAAGAGTCAAGACAACTATTGCTGCGGTCGAGAATTTTTGTTGTATGAGGATTATTCTTTTTCTTTATAATTGAGCGAAAGGTGCATTAAGTTGTTTTTCCTTTTAAGCTTGCCTTCGGTATTTCCTTGTGCTTATTTGTGTACTGACTATACGTTTCAGGCCTCTTAGGATTCCGAGAGACCGTTCACTATCGCTGCCGTGATTAATTATTTAAACGTCGAAAAATTTATGGCGTTGTATGAGAAATATTTTTTGCTCAATAAATTAGCAAAATGTGCATTGAATTTCGCCCTTTAAGCTAAACTTTAACTTTTTCTTGTGTTTATTTATGTGCTTAGTGCGTGTCAGGCGTCTTAGGCGCATTAACTATCGGGGATGGGAGGGCGAGAGAGAACTGGAGTAAACTGTGTGACTATGGAGGGCGGGCTCTAATATTGGAAGGTGAGATGTACTCCAGGGGGGCGCACTCAGGGGAGGTCTAGGTAGAGCTATGCCACAGACGCTTCCGCAAACCCCGACCCTGTTCAAAACAAAAATTGCTCATTTTGCTACCCTGACAGGAGACACTTCCTTCTGACCCTGATTTGTTTTGTTTTGCATACAGAATTAAGTAATTTTTCACACTAAAATCGAGGAAATAGCATTTTAGAAAAAAGAAGTATTGGTATTGCAAATGTAGACCGCTCATCGCACGTCTTCACACTCTTTGAAAGGCTTCCAGTCCAAAAGAGACCCTGTTCAATGGGCTTAATAATGAAATTGTATACCCTTTTTAAGACTCAAGACCTTGATAACCATACCCTGTTCAACGGCAAATACCCGTATAGGCCAAATAAGGGAGTGCCCCCCGCCGGGATGTACTTAATCTCCTTTTGGTTAAAGTAAGTTCGAACCCCGGTTGCTCGAAGCATGGTTAGCGTTAACCAGCGTTTAATACCTTGACAACGTATTGGTTTTGATACTGCTTAACCAATGGTTAAAGCTAACCATGCTTTGAGCAACTCAGCCCAGGGCTCTGGCTTTAAAAAGGATCTTCTGGGATTAAAATGGGGTTGCTGTTGTTAAGGGAGGGTAGCAAATGTTGCATAGGTCCCGTGTTCACCCCATGTGACCCTCCAACTTATGTAATTATACAGTGAAACCTGTATTAAGCGGACATCGTATTAAGCGGACACCCTCTATTAAGCGGACAGTAGCAGAGGTCCCAAAATTTATTCCCCTTATTTACTTTAAATGAAACCTTTATTAAGCGGACACCTCTATTAAGCGGACGCGGACACCTAAAAAGTACCTGAAATGGTCATTTCTATTGTTGCCAACCTGTATTAAACGGACACTTGTAATAAAATTTCACTACCCAACATGCCAGACACCGGAAATGCGAAAGATTACCTCGAATTGCCACCCACAACTTTTTCCATTTTTACATTAAAAAACGTGACTTGACGAACTTATTTGATTAGTTTCACAGTACAGTGTTGTTTTCTATTTCGTTTTGTTTGTATAGAGCTTGTTTTTCTTATCTGATTTCTTCAAATTTGCGGACACTAAAGCATTCCCCGAGGGTGTCCGCTTAATACAGGTTTCACTGTAGTAAAAAAGAAATGGATGTGATAGTGGATAACTGCAGGCTAATATGTGCTAAGCGATGTTGCTGTCGTCTCCGCTCCGTTACTCGCGCTGAATTTCAAGTCGGCGTTCTTCAGAGGAGTTTCGGTGGAAAATCTTCCCCTGCCAGGATTCCCACCCACTTGGTGAATCCAGCGAAGGTTGTTATGCTTGCTTTTGTATGTCATTTGCAGGAGAAATTGGTCACTAATAAAATCAGGTGTTCATCAATAAAACATACGGCGCCATGTTGCCTGGAAACACAAAATGCCCAGTGACGTCAATTGCATGACGTCAGGACGGACACCCGAGAGATATTTGAATTCATAGTTAGTTAGAACAAGAGCCATCATGGCTCTTGGTTAGAAAGAAAGATGGGGCACCCGCGAGATTGCAAGCCGCTAAGACCACGCAATTTTTTAAAATTTTTTTTTTGTTAATTTTTTTTGTTATTTTTTTGTTATTTTTTACCTTTTTGTTTTGACCGATGTTAGTAATTACTGTGAAGAACAAAAACTAAAGCTTTTAATTAACGTTTATATCAAAATACTGAAGAAATTTAGGTGGCAGTGAGCAACTTTCCAGCATTTTACGAGCGCAATCGGGGCGCCGTACCAAGATTGTTTGCCGATGAAACCAAACTTACGTTATCTACTATAGACGTTAACAGAGCTTTAAGCTAGCTGTAACCCCTGAATTAAATAATCTTAGCTGTTGGCTGAAAGCTAACAAGCTCAGTCTAAATGTTACTAAAACAGAGCTAATGATTATTGGATCAAGACAAAGACTGTCTGCCTAATGTGACGATGTAGAAATCAGAATTGATGACCAAATTATCTAGAGAGTCGATCATACCAAATCCTTGGGTCTTACCGTAGATGCTCAACTCTCTTGGGGTAAACACGTTGAAGAGGTTTGCAAGAAAGTCTCTTCAGCTATAGGCGGCCTAAAACGTGTGAGGCCCTTTATATCCAAAGAAACTGCAATTCAAATTTATAACGCTTTAATTATGCCTCATTTTGATTACAGCAGCCCCGTCTGGGACTGTTTGAGTGGTCACTTCAGTCACTTGAGTGATAAGCTCCAAAAATTACAGAATCGTGCAGCCAGAGTTATTACTAAATCATCCTTTGATACACAGTACTTTTCAAGGAGTTATAATAACTCCTCTAGTGGGGCTAAAGCATCACAAAAAGTTCCCTCGCTATAGCACCGACAGTCTTACACCAAGTACCACCCCGTCGCGACGTCGAGCGCCGTTTACGCTTGATTCCCCGGAATGTTCGGTACAATGTTTTTCCGCTTTATGCACCGGTACCGATTATAAGACCATTGCAGGATGAAACTGATCTAGCGAAAATGATGTAGAAGAGATATATTACTTTTTAAACGCATGTTGAGGAACTTTCTTTAAACAAGGTTCCTTTTGTCCTTTCCTTTCACATGTGGCCGTTGGTTTTACTCGCCCCCTCGGATCTGGAATATTTACTCTCTAAAATATTTACATTATCTGTGCTCTGCTGTGGTCAAAAACGAAGAAAGCGAAGCGAAACGTCTTGTAAGATAACGTTAATTTAAAACTATTTGCTTGACCAGTGATTAGTCTTCGAAAATCGCATGTATTGAAACTACATCTCTGTATTTCTCACCTCCTG